TATATATATATATATATATATATATATATATATATATATATAGTTATGTATTGATTTACAAGCATATTAAGTTATGTATAGAGATGAATTGTACAAAGAAAATAGCCTACAATCACCCCTCCCCGCATACATACCATCAACATAAGCTAGGATCAAATCCAATAACAGTAAATCCATTCAACTCACAAATAACGATATTGATATTAAAACCTTAAATACCTACAATCATTGTGTTCTCCCAATCCGCATTCACACAATCAAAACAAGGAAATATCATGTCCATACCATATTCAATTATGGTAATTATGGACTGGTACAATTTTATGGAAATTTATGCGGAAGTACACCGGTCCGATATTTACAACACTGGACCAGCCTTTTGTCCATCCTTTTTTTTTTTTTTTTGAGTTTACCCATCGGTCCGACCAATTCTTTAATCTATTTTTTTAATTTCTTTGAATTATAAAAAATTCCCAAGGAGTGGTCCAATGTCACAAAACTCAAACTGCAAGGCTTTCCCAAAACATACGAGTGGTCCGAGGAAGCCTTGTGGTACCGCAATCCTTCCCTCAAAATTTTCCGTATTCTATTCTCTCTCAATTTTTTTGGTTCTCCCTCTTCATTTTGTTAAGATGGTAAGAGTAAGCCCCACTTGATTTTGTTAAGATGTGAACGTGCCAAAAGGAAACGAGATGGGTCAAAATATTCCCCCATGCAGGTTGGTGATGGATGTCTGTCTCGCTCAATTAAAACCTCCTTGCACCAAGGTCACAAACCATGGGCCGCATAGCTTTGTATTCTTCGAGGAAGCCTTGTGGTCCAAGGGTTCCAAGGTTCCTCAATATTTTTTAGGTAAACCTTGCAGTACAAGGTTTGTGACCTTGGATCTCTCTTTGGGAATTTTCCTATAGTTCAAAGAAATTAAAAAAAATAAACATCAGATCCAGGGGTAAACTTAGAAAAAATAAAAAGGGATGCGCAAAAACACCCTTGTAGATATCAAACCAGTGTACCTCCCAGTAAATTTTCCATAAACTAGAATCAGTTCCAATCACATTAAATAAACTCAACTCCTAAAAATTATAAAAAAAAAATGCCATCTACAAACAAAAGTCCAAACCAATCCAATAAAAAACTACCAGCCAAATAGAATCCAATTTAAGTCCTTCCTCAAAATGAAAAAACAAGGGAGAACGGAGAAAATGGACCTTGATCTAGGGCTCCACAGCGGTGACCTGCAGCCACTCCCCATCTACCGCCTCCTTCCAAAGTGTAACATTGTTGTTACCATCAGCAACAGCAAGAAGGTTCCCTGTCAATGACCACGAAACCCTCCACACAGGCGTCTTAAAGTCCTTCAAAACCTTGCCTTCCCACTTCTCCCCTTCCTTCCCCACTGTCCAAATCACCACAGTCCCATCCTGTGATGCACTCGCGATAGTGGACTTTGGCAGCCCCAAGTTCGGGGCCCATGCCACGTCCCTCACCCAGTCCACATGCATCTGCAACGCCGGAAAGCAGTCCATCCTCCAAGTCCCATTGTAAAGCTTCCAAATCTTCACTGTGTTATCACAGCCACAGGATGCTAGCTTTTGGACAATCTCGCCGCCCGAATTGGGGCCCACAAGAGAACCAGGGAGGATGGCGGGAGCCCACGAGACTGAGGTGACGCCAACTGGGTGCGCCTGGTCAATGCGGGTGGCTTCCCATGAACCGTCAGGGCCTGCTGACAGTACCGAGATCGTTCCGTCGGAGGAGCCACATGCAAGGCAGAGTCCAAGCTCGTGCGGTGCCCATGCAATGGAATTCACAGAAGCCTTGTGATCAGAGAACACATAAAATTGCAACCAGCCGTTGGAGGTGCCTTCCTTCGTGCCTTCCTTCCAGATGACCACCTTGCTGTCATAGGAGCAGGAGGCGAGGAGGGAGCCGAACTTCGGGTGTGCCCACGCAACCTGCCAAACGGGCCCCTGGTGACCGCTGAGGGTGGCGAGGTGCTGCTGCGATGAGGCAGCCACACCGATGATCTTGATTGTGGCATCAGATGAAGCAGTTGCCAAGCGCTTCCCATAGTAGTCCATGGCTACGTCATGGACCACATCCTGGTGCCCCGTCTCGATCTTCAGTGAAGGCATATTCTCCCTCTGCAACAACAGTTGTATAACAATGGATTCGGGTTAAGGCAGCCTTAGGCTCCGATTTGCCCCTTTCTGAGAACAGAGGGATCTGAGGGAGGTGGCTTTGAACTAGGGTTTGTTCTCTCTATTTCTGATTTTCCTTTTCGCCGTTTCTGTAATTTGTTGCAGAGGGTAACCGATGATGATAACAATGGATTAGGGTTTAATCAACCCAGGCTCCGATTTGCCCTTCTCTGAGAACAGAGAGATCTGAAGGAGCTTGCTTTGATCTAGGTTTTGTTCTCTCTATTTCGTATTTCCTCTTCACTGTTTCTCTGAATCGTTGCAGAGGATAAGCGGTAATGAAAAGAGACGGGAGAATCAAAAGTGAGATAACACCGTGTCTTTGCTTATTCTCCGATCCGTATATTCGTTGGGTGAGGTTTACATAATAGGCGCCACTTCATACCGATGAACCAAGGCGCAACTGCACGGCCTGATGGAAGCGTTCGGACAAACTTGATATTATATCTTCCACCGTTCGAAAAGACGACTCGGGCGGAGTGTAAATATATTTTCCGGTGCGCTAATGGACGACTCGGGCCATGTTTGGCCATGCAACTCCACCCGATTTGGTATTTAGCAGAAAAAAAAAAAAGTTAAAAAATGCAAAATAAATTTCAGAAAATTACAAAAACCTCATGACAGACCTTTTTTTGCATCCTACCTTACCTTTTTTTTTTTTGGGGGTTATGTTAGCCTACATTACTTATAGATGTAAATCTTTAAAGTGCTTAATATTTTTAAAAAAATAGTAAAAAAATATATTTAAAAAATAATGGTGTAAGCTAGCGAAAAAAATATATTTAAAACAAAATTAAATAAAATACATCTAAATAAGGTCAAAAATAGTAAAAAAATAGATTTTGAAAAAATCAATTTACCATCAAAAATGTTTTTTAAATAATCCAAAAATAAGGTAAAAAGTAAAAATAAGTATTCATGACAAAAATATTTTCCAACCTTTGCAAAAATGATAGAACACATAAAAAAAACATGTTGATTTCTCATTTTTTAAAATTTTTTTCAAGATATCCAAATTAGACATCCAACTCAGGGAGCTCGAGCTCGCCTGGCGAGTCTAAGCCGACACATCCAAGTAGTCAAACATTAATATTTTCGACCCTAATTATAAAAAAAAAAAAATTATATGAGTATGCGCCCACTGAACCAAAACGCCCGTCGTTAATATACACATCATGCAAACTGCAGCATACCAAAATGTCTTTAAAAAGAAATCCCTAAAACAATACATTGTAAAATTCAAAACTTTTTGCTTTTTTTTTAATATTCATGATCATATTGGCTTGGATTATGAATCCCTAAAATTTTGGATGAAAAAACTACATATGAGTCCGCTAACTCAATAGAAACCCCATCCATTATAAAATCTTGAATGTTAATTTTTTTTGAAATAGAATTTGAAATTCTTTTCTTCTTTAGCCAAAAAAATATTGCATTCATGTGGGAGTATACTATCTATTTACTCCATCAAGTAAAACCCCATCTAAGATTGATTTAGGCCCCAATTTTTTGAGATCTAACCTTTTCAACCCATAGATTACCTTCAATTAAAAAAATATATAGGAGTATGCTATCTATTTACTCCATCAAGTAAAAACCCCATCTAAAATTGATTTAGGCCCCAATTTTTTGAGATCTAACCTTTACACCCCATAGATTATCTTCCATTTAAAAAAATCATAATTCCACCCTCTATACACTTGAGATCTAAGAATTAGAAAATTCAAGTTTCAAATTTTTCTTTTGAAAATAATCATCTAGTGATTCTTAGATGATTCTCAAAATTTAAGATTGAAAAAAGTCTTCATAAGTGGGTCTTCTGACCGAGGGAGTAGATGTACATCGGTTTTTTTGTTATAGAGAGATAGGAGGTCTATTTGGGGTTGAGAGTGAGAGAGAGAGAACTCATATTGTGGGTGGTGTAGTTTTTGCAGGCAATTTCTTCATGGTGATCAATATGGATAAAGATGAGGACTAGGTTTTTGTGATCATGAGGAAGAACGACGATAGTTTTGAGACTGTCCCGGTCTACATTACTACATTGTACATTTGGTCCCGCTGAATAAAAGCATGGCGAATTTCTAATAATTCGTGGCATGCATGTTTATCCACCTTGCCAACTTGCAATCAATCTTCTTCCCTTGGGCTCTTATTTGCCCTCTCTCTATGGTAAACTTCATGGAAGGTCTCATGCTTCTATGTGTATGGAAGCATTCTTATAGGGTTCTTTTTCTCTCTCTTAAATTTCTCTCTCTCCTAGCTCTAGTTCTGCGTTCTAACCATTATTAATCGGGATGGTATACTATAAGAACATTTACCTTTGATACAAGGTTGTCGCAATTACTTACAACTATTCTATGTGAAATTTGATAGTTTGGATGTGTCACAAAGTTCGAGAAAATGTCTTTCGAAGTTTGAGCTTGGTCAGTGGAATAAATACAGCCATTCAATTTTACATCCAATAGTCAAGATTAAGTGCAACCACTTCGTACCCAAAGTAAATGTTTTCATTCTATATCTTTCCTTTTCCTTGTTAATTCCTTCCTTCTCAATCTCTCTTTTCAATAAGCTCCTTCATCGTTGCATCTCTCATTTTAACATTCGTTATCCCTCTCTCTCTCTC